GATTCCGCGCGCGCGCGCGAGAGAGAGAGAGAGAGAGAGAGAGAGAGAGAGAGAGAGAGAGAGAGAGAGAGAGAGAGAGAGCAAAGGACCCCTTTCACACACATCAAAGGGCCCCTGCAGGTAATCTGAAGGGTCCTCTGAAGGGTCCTCGCAGCAAATTAGCGTGGACCCTCCCCCAAACTACTGAGAGCCACGGGTAGAAGGGTTTTTTTTTTTTTTTTTTTTAATTTTATAAAAGGGCGACGGCCTTGAGATATATATATATATATTTTTAAAAGGGCGACGGCCTTGAGATATTATTGAGGTGACCGGCCCCGAGCAATTCATTACTAGTTGGTTTTACTCGTTAAGTTCCATCCTCTGGATTCGAACACAGGTCTGTATTTCAACAGTTCATGGGTGTACCCACTGAGCTAGGCTCTTGGGTCCGCGGGTAGAAGAAGTCAACGGACGCCTAATGTGCAAAACGAGAATGAATCTTCCGCTAGTACATGGACCGACCTATCTTTGTCTTTTGTGCATGCCGTGGTGACTACGGCAATGGCTCGAGACCCTCTGTAGTCACTCACACACACCACGCTCGGCGATACGCCCGCAGTCCTGGCTGCGCGCCCACGCCCAGCGTGGTATCACTCTGTCCACACTCCTACTAGGATTTTCTTGATGTATCAGACCGCCTTTACGGTCCTAGTGACGCACTTGATCGCAATCGTGCCCACAGATACGTTGAAAAAGTCCTAGCTCGAGTATGCCGCTATGGGCTACCCTTTTCTTGGGAAAAAATATATAGCAGTGCGGCTGGAGTCATGCGGCGGAGGACAGAAAACGTGGAAAGGCGAACATAAGTGAGACAGCGAGTGGGAGGGCCGCTGAGGCGGGAGGGCACCTGTCGCAACCTCGATGGAACTGTCTGTCTGTCGAAGGGCGTAGCCCGCCTGATGGAGCGCCTTTCATAGGGGGCAGTCTGTCTGAACTGTCTGTGCCTGTCAAAGCGACAGCATGAACTCCTGCGGCTGGGATGTCTCTGTCGAAGGAGCCCCAGAAACAGAGAGACAGGATGAATTGGACTGGAACTAGGTAGGGAGGAAAAACGATGACAAGGTGGAACGGGCAGCAGCGGGGCGTTCTCGTTGGTAGCCTGGTCTGGCGTGGGAGCCACCGTGGTGACCTGTGAGAACGACACGTGCGAAGAAGACGGAGGAGGCCTATCAACCACGGCAGGTCTGAAGGAGATGGATACGGCCTATCAATGAATCCTGCTAGCAAGCAACTGATCTACGGCTTCGTTTTTCCGTAGTGTAGCGTTCTCCCCTCCCTTTCCCTGTTTTCTTGGTGTGTGTGTGTGTGTGTGTGTGTGTGTGTGTGAGAGAGAGAGAGAGAGAGAGAGAGAGAGAGAGAGATGGGGACGGGCTAGGGGAAGGGCTAGGGGAAAGTCGGGGGGGAGGGGGAGGATAAACGCNAGAGAGAGAGAGAGAGAGAGAGAGAGAGAGAGAGAGAGAGAGAGAGAGAGAGAGAGAGAGAGAGAGAGAGAACGTTGGGAGGTGGTGATTACATCAACTAAAGCTTCACTCCTAACAAGGTATTCATGAAAACTGGACCTGAAAAATTGTCCAGTTTGCAAGTATGCAATTAGTGTTTTTGAAAAAATAATTTTCTACTAGCCAACACAGCTAACAATCTGTCGGGTTTTCTTCCTTGAATTAATAATTATTTTAAAATTCTGAAAAGTCATGCAGTACATGTTTCCAAGAAAAATATTTTTCAGCGAACACCATTTTGTTTCGAACTCAGTACTTGAGGTTTTTGTTTGTCTCACTGTATACATACGGTCTCTTAAATGAGACAGGAGTGTCGGCCCTCTACTAAGGTTTATGGTCTAGGCTCAAGGCTTGAGCTCCGATAGCACGTTAAAATTGAGTGTCAAGCTTGGGTGCAAGCTCTCAAGGTCATGTTTGGGTTCAAGGTCAGGGTCAGGATTGAGTGCAAGGTCAGGGCATACTTGAGTTCGAGCTGAGGGTCATGCTCATGGCCCTCTACTAAGGTCTGGGGTTTAGGGTTTAGGGTCTAGGCTCGAGCTCCGATACCGTGTTAAAATTGAGTGTCAGGCTTGGGTGCAAGCTCTCAGGGTCAAGCTTGGGTTCAAGGTCAGGGTTGGGCTCGAGTGCAAGGTCAGGTTCATGCTCGAGTTCAAGGTGAGCGTCACGCTCATGCTAGAGATAGGGTCAGGCGTGCAAGCTCAGGTTCAGGCTTGACTTCAAGGTCATGGTCTGGCTCGGGCACAAGGGACAGGGTTAGGCTCGGGTTCAAGTCCAGGGTCTTCCTCAGGTTCAAGGCCTGGGTTAGGCAGCTGGCTCATAAATTGCACAGTCCAAAGACTTTTTTTTTTTTTTTTTTTTGAAATCTGACTTGTCGCAACTCACTTCCAAATATGCATGCAAACAAATGACGAACATGATCTAGCGCAGTGCGCCCACACAAAGCTCAGAGATAAGAGCGTGGCAAGGAACACCGTTCAGGTTCACTTGTCTTGACAGACAGACAGGGAGGCAGGCAGGCAGGCAGGCAGATAGGCGAGCGAGTTGGGTTCAAGGTCAGTGTCGGGCTCGGGTGCAAGGTGAGGGTCAGGGTTGAGTTCAAAGTGAGGGTCATGGTTATTCTAGGGACAGGGTCAGGCTCGGATTCAGGTTCAGAGTCTTCCTCAGGTTCAAGGTCTGGCTCATGAAGTGCACAATCAGCATACTTTCGGGACATCCATTAAAATTGGAAAGACACATAGAAAATTAGCATGGCCCCTGCGCAAGGATGACACGCATAAATCGAGAAATGGTCACAATTAAAAAGGAAAAAAGAAAAATATATTAAACTGATCAGAACAGACAGACACACAGTTGGACAAACATACAAACAGACAAACGACATACAGACAGACAAACAGACAGTAGGCAGACAAACAGGCAGCCAGTCAGGGATCGGCGGAGAAGAGGAAAGGCGGACTCCGAGGGGGAAGAGGCAGAGGGAGGAAAGCGACTACGTATCACCCACGACCACGGTCGTGGGGTCAATGGCCCCATCCGCTGATGGTTGACCCGAATTCGTGGCCACGGTTTTTATGGATTTTTCCCCTGCAAAATAAAACGTAAAAAAAACGGGGGTTCTAGGGTTTTTCAAACCCTACAGCCCTACATTTTTCTTTTCCCAAATCACATATTGTTTGGTGTTAAAAAAAAATAAAAATAAAAAACTGCAAAAGAAACCAGAAAAAAAATAAAATTATTTTCTTTCGGTTGTTTGTTTGTGTGTGTGTGTGTGTGTGTGTGTGAGAGAGAGAGAGAGAGAGAGAGAGAGAGAGAGAGAGAGAGAGAGAGAGAGAGAGAGAA